GATCACTCGGTCTAAACATGTTCCTTTAGCAGTCAAGCTGCAACCAAATGCAACCTATAACCGCGGATCAAGCCTAATTTTCAGAGTTGAGGTATGCATTGTGATCTGAGAGATTCTGGGACTGCACGGTCATACGACAGCGACATTGCTGTGCTTGCACGATCACACAGCCACAGCAGTAATTGTGGCTACACATAAAGTGACCGTGCGATGGTACGGTCGGACGATCGTGCAGTCACAGGGTCGCTGAGATCGCAAACTATGAACGCGGTTCATGTTGTCATTCCTCGACGTTGCTCGGTAGATTTCAAATTGAAACATTCCAAACTGAACTGTTCTGAAAACTTCAATTCTTATTTTCATCTGCTTTATGTTGCAGGGTTTGTCCTGAACTCATGAACAAGTATTTGCAAATTATGTCATCAGGATAATAAAATATTCTTTTTAAGTCCCACCGTCTCTTGCGAGCCACTCTAGATCGTCTACATCGACTCCAATGCAGTCGGCTCCTTTGCAACCACCTGCACCGCCAGACATGCGTCAAGTACAGCAAGGCTTCAGTCAGATGGTAATACTAGCCTTTTTAATGCGAATCTCTTGATTTATGGTTTTTACATTATTTGAAAGCAAAAATTGTGGGTTAGGGTTTTGCTGCTCATTAGTATGAGGATTCACAATTATGCTAACCATATGAATTGATCCCAACCACTTGCTCTGGCATCGCGTTTCGATCCACTCGCAACTGCAATCGCAAACGCAAATAAATCCCTACCAGCTGGCGCATCTTTCTGGCCGCCGATGTCGCGAGTGCGACCGCCCCAACGCCACAGGCGTTTTTCAGTGCTGAAGTTAAGAGACATGCATGACACACAATGATTTCAGCGATAAACATTGCCTAGGATGTGTTATGGATTAGTAAAACAAATTTTACCGAAAGGACGGGAGGCAATTAAAAAGCGAAATTCATTGACCCTCAGTGCTAGTGCTTGGTGTACACCCCGAGTGTGATATCCGAAGAAACATTGTAAATTGATTAGCTCTGAACTGAAAGCTGTTTTCTTCCATCGAAAGTAGTGCTTAATGTTTTTTTCTTGCCAGAGTATGAACAACCAGCCAGCAATGCCACAGCATGCCAATCCTTCATGGGGTGGATCGCATCCGTTGGATCCGCGACTTGCTGCCCCGCAGCTTACACCAGATTTAATGGATTTGACAGCTGAAGAGGAATGTCATTCAGTTGGGATTCGAGGATAATGAGTACATTCTTCCCCATAATATGGCCAACAACTCCGCAAGAGTGGATCCCAGGTTTGTGGAAATCTTGGTGGTGCTTATAATTTCTCTGGAGTGTGTGTTTTGGCAGTTCTCAATTAGGTGAAGCTGTTTCTTCAACGTGAAATTTTGGAAGTTGATATTCTAGTTTGTTGGTACATTATTTTATGCAGCTAGACACGTCGCTGAAGGGGTACGAGGAAACAGCATAAGGGGCACACGTGGCATCAGATGGTAGTAAGAGCATTAAAAATCATAGTGATATTTTTTGGGACCGTAATTACAACATGTTCCACGCTGGAAATATGATGGGGATATGATTTACATCCTTTAGTGTTTTCCGCTGTACATTAACAATGGTGCCTCAAACGGAGGAGCTGTTGAAAAAAAGTCGGCTGCCACTCGGTCTCACCCTTCACCCCTTCCGTGATATGAAGGTGATTTTTGTGCCCATTCGTGCTCTTACATTATTTTTTGCCATTGTTTTGTGTGCTCAGATTTTCCGAACTTTTAGAACTTGAATATAATCCAAACTTCTACAATCGTTCGTTGTCGGTATTGTCGAACTTACATAAATCCGTATGTTTACTTACCGGACTCACGGCACTGGAAGTGCAACTTATGCAATCGAAATAATGACCGTATGTTCTGATCCTCTTGAATAGAATTTTTAATTTCTTAAACGCTTTATTCACATCTTGAACTTCTCTCACGTTTCAATGTTTTCAGTCCCAGATGATTTTTGCTGGGATCCGAATACCAAATCATTTGGAGATCCAATAAATCGACCTGAAATAAAACATCCGACGGTGGAATTCATCGCGCCAAATGAATACATGGTAATTAATTATTAGCATTATTTCATGCTTAAATAAGAATAATAATAACTAGGTTGTCGCAAAGGTTTTGTCGGTATGGCAAAAATCCCAACTTCAAGGTGTTCTAAAACTTTTCTCGCACTGTTTGTGTAGGAATTTCTCGCGCATCTTTTGGTATGTATCGGGAACTTTCTCACCACAGTAAAGAAAGATTAGCCGAAAGTTGCTGCTTCATAACTTTGAGATGGATCATAGTGCGTAAATTGGCTCATGCATACTCGGTATTTTCCGGATTTGTTTTGCCATCCACTTGATATTTTTCAAAGAGTTTCTGCATTTCAAAATGCATAATACATCTTCTGTGTCTGCGAAATCAATCTGGTAATGGGCTAGTCAAGTGTAGTACTTCTTCAATGTTATGGTGCCGTGACAGCTCGTTGCTTCCTAACTTTTTAGTGGTAGTGACAGCCGTAAACATGTAAAAGACTCTCGGCCAGCACCTAGAGCACATGTTTTTCTATTATTATTAACAAGAGAAGCCCAGTTTCTTGTTTTTGAATATTTCTTTTCTGGATTATTTTCGAACGAATGGTTGGTTGAATGTTTGTCGATATGCATCTGTTTTCATTATAGCTGCGACCACCACAACCTGCTGTGTACGTGTTTGTTTTGGATGTGAGTGCAGCGGCTGTTGAAGCAGGTATGACTATATTTGGGCTTTATGATGCTCAATAAAAAAGGAATGGATCGAATTTCAAAGGTGCCTTTCGTATTTCTGATGTGATCAGGAGGAGTGATAAAGTTAATGTTGGGTTTCTTTTCACTAGCATTTCTGGTGAAAAGAAACCCAACATTAACTTTATCACTCCTCTTTTCTAGGAGTGACCTATCGCAGTGTCCAATTTTATTGCCCGGTTAACACTTTTTCGTTTCATTGGAACTAGCTGAGGGCGTTCAGCAGTTTTGCATTTCTAGTCAGTGATGCGGTCGAAA